CTCGCGCAGACAGGCCTTGATTTGCTTCCTGGCCAAGTCGGGGAGGTCTTTGCCAATCTTCACTCCCTTGGTCGGGTCTGCTCCGAGGGGAACAAGTTCGAAATCGCCGTCCGGAATAGGTCGGAGGGGGATTTGCTCGCTGCTGGTCGGCTCGTCTTGGTCAAAACGGGCGTCGAGCGCAATGGAGTCGACCTTTGGTGGAGCCTTCTGAACTTCTACCTCAGGAGATGCTCTGTCGGGCTCTTGCTTTGTCTTCTTGATGGGCCTAGTGCTGGGACCCACGTCGACAGTATCCCGACCCCTTGAAGCGGCGTTGAAGCACCGGCGGGCAGCAGCGAGGTCGCCCTGGATGGTGGCTACCCTCGCCCTCTTGGTATAGAACTTCATCTTTAGGTGGACAGTTGAGGGGACCGCTGTCAGTTCCGCCAATGTCGGCCTCCCCAGAATGCAATTGTACAGGGACGGGCAGTCAATGACGAGGAAGCGGACCTTCACTTGTCTTGTAGCAGTTCCTTCCCCGAATGTCACGAGGAGCTCGACATATCCCCAAGGTTTGGACGTCGAACCGTTGAAGCCTTGAAGGTCCGAACCTATATATGGAGACAGATGGGAGTCGTCCAGTTGTAAGGTCCGGAACAGCTGAGTGTACATCACGTCGACGGAACTCCCTTCGTCGACCAGGATGCGATGCACGTCAAAATTGGCCATCTTTGCCCTTATCAGCAAGGGGATGACTGCGTTCGGTGCTCCGCCGGGGAGCTCTTCCAAGTAGAAGGTGATAGGCTCTGATCTGCCCTTCACCATTTCGAATGTCACAGTTTGTGGAGGAGCTTTGTCGACCAGTTCATCCAACTTCCTCTTTGCTGAGTTGATGGTGAGGTCGTTTAACCTAAATGAGATTGTGTGTGATGCATCTCATAGAAAATAAATTAATGATTGTGTTCTGGATATTCAATACCAAGTGAGGAGGGCATATATATTGAAGGGCCTAATGCAACCAGATATGCCAAGCTTTTCTCGTACTCCATTTGGAAGTGTTAAAAGAGAATTTAGTAAATCATGGTATAAGAATTATACATGGTTAGAATACAGTGAGATCAAGGATGCAACTTATTATTTTTATTGCTTTCTCTTTAAGAAACCTGGGAGGGCCGAACACTTTGGTTTTGAAGTCTTCACTAAAAAACGGATATAAAGATTGGAAGCATACATCTCAAGGATTTAAAGATCCCGTTGGTAGTCATAATAGTTTGCACAACTTATGTTTCAAGTACTACGATGATTATAATAATCAAAGACAACGTGTGCCAAGTAAGTTTTCTAAAGCAACCAAGAAATCAAAAAAATTATATAAGATTTATTTGATTTGTTTTGTATATTGTTCAAGAGATCTCATTGCACAAGGCATGGATTTCCATGGCCATGATGAATCATCTATTTCTCTAAATAAGGGCAATTTTAGAGAGATTGTAGATTGAGTAAAAGCTAAGAAAGAACAAGTGAGCGATGCTTTTGACTGTGGTGGAAAAAATTGCACGATGACTTCCAGTGACATTCAAAAGGAGCTTGCAACGTGTTGTGCACATGAAGTTACCAAGGTTATTATGGAAGAGCTTGGTGATAAACAGTTTTTCGTTCTTATTGATGAGCCACGTGATATGTCCATCAAAGAGAAAATGGCAGTGATGTTGAGATTAGTAGTTGTATATCTTGTCAATTTCCAATTTTCATTACCTATTACTCTCTATGTCGTCAAGTAAAATTGTTGAATTTGTTTTAGGTTTGTTAACGACAAATGGCGTGTTGTGGAACGATTTATTGCTCTACATCATGTCAAAGATACTACATCTGAGACATTAAAGGATGCTCTTTATGATATTCTTGATAAGTACATGTTATCTATTTCAAGGATACGAGGGCAAGGATATTATGGAGCTTCAAATATGAGAGGTGAATTTAATGGTTTGTGTTGGTGGTTGTAATCACTTTTTTAATCGTCACATGCAAGTATACATGTTGTGATTGCAGCAAGTACTAAATATAAGAATATCGTACTCACAGGGAGTAAAGTTACTTAGATTTGATTTTGTGAAATTTCTACTCTTTTAAGTTAAGCATGAGTGAGAAACAATAATAGGGTTGTGATAATAAGTTTAGTGTTACTATTAACAACTTAATAAAAGTGCAAGCAGAAGTGTAAGTATTAAGAGAGATAGAGTTGAGCATAGATCCATTAATGTTGTATATACGTTTATGTGTAGATGATGTGTGGAGTCGTGGCAGACAAGGTCAGATTGATTCTATGGTGTATTTCTACAACATCCAAAACATGCATGCAAGGGGCAAGGGAACAAATCTCTAAGCCTCACTTGTAGCCCAATGATGCGCCTTGTAATAAATCTAAATTCCTTAATGATTGCAACTTCTTATCTCTAAGTAAGCTAGGTCAAGAAAATATCTTTATCCTACTTTTTCAACCATTTTTACTCATGAAATACGCTTGTTGTTATATCTCTCTCAACAATAAGCAGTTACCTATTTCTAAATTGATCATGCAGAGAAATAAGTTTTTGCAACATAAACACATCGTAAAGCAAGCACTAGTCACACAACATATAACATAAACACACTTTTTAATATTAATTTCACATAGCTCAACTGCAAAGGGTTTAGCTCATGAAGAGCAAAGTGCAAACAAAGAGCAAAACTCTTACAATGAACATCTTAAGACAAAAGAAATGACAAGAGATGTAAACCTAAGAGAGGACGTGAAGATCTCCTTGAGATGGATAATCTTCAGCAGACTACTTCAGTCGTGCCAGAGCTCATTAGTTAGCACCAGAAAGGATGAGGAAATAATACTCTCTTCCACTTTTCTATCTTAGAACGTAAAACTTATGTAAAAATATTTCTTGAACATCAGAGCTCTCTCTCTCTCTCTCTCTCTCTCTCTCTCTCTCTCTCTCTCTCTCTCTCTCTCTCTCTCTCTCTCTCTCTCTCTCTCTCTCTCTCTCTCTCTCTCTCTCTCTCTCTCTCTCTCTCTCTCTCTCTCTCTCTCTCTCTCTCTCTCTCTCTCTCTCTCTCTCTCTCTCTCTCTCTCTCTCTCTCGTCTCTCTCTCTCTCTCTCTCTCTCTCTCTCTCTCACTCACTTCTCATTATATAGGCCAAGGATTTAGGGTTGGCATCTAGCATTGGATCATGGACTTTCTTGTGAATCACATCAAGCCCAAATGGATTAGCGCCAAAATAACAACAGCTTTGCTAGACGACATAAGGAAGTGGTACGAGAGGAAACAGCAGTGGGAGACAAGGTGGCGTGTGGCAGAAACTGCAACAGGCGCAAGAGGTGCTGGTCTGACTTTGGCAGGGTACAGATGTACCCATTTTTTTCTTCTAGCTTCTCCACTATCAAATTTGAATTTTGAATAGCTTCATTCTCTTTTTCTGTACCACCACGTTTTTCCTCCTTTTATTCTCCTTCTACATTTCCCTTAAAGTTATCAGCTTCCTTCATTTCACTTGTCCAATAATTCTTCTTGAAGTTGTCGGCTTGTGCAACTTGCAGTAGCCTCGCTTAGTCTTGTCTCTACTCAATCCTACTAACCTTTTGTACACATAAAAACACAATTAAAAGCAACAAAGGGGGAGAACCTATTGTGCTCCACACTAAACATCAAATTAAATCTTATAATGCAAGAAATTAAACTAAAAAGAAATTAAAATACTAAAATAGCAAATACTAAAGGCATGAATTAACTCACAAAATGTGGGTTAACAGTTTGCAATGAAAGATTCTAGATGAAAACCCTTATTCTTTCTATGTCCATCGCTATGCTCACCGTTTGCAATTGGTTGTTGTGTCTATTGTCAGCAGTTGCTCATCTATTCATGATTTCTTTGAGTACATCTCCTTGATTGTGACTACAACAAGTGCATTTTGTAAGATGAGGGATGCTTTGACGGAGACACAACACCAAGATATTTTGAATAAACTTGAGAGGGGTGAGATATCTAAAGGAAGAGGATTGCACCAATTCTCTAATCTCACTAAATCCGGAGACACTAGATGGGGTTCACATCATACTACTTTGCTTCGTTTGGATCAAATGTGGTCATCCGTGTTAAAGGTGCTTAGCATAGTTGATGAAGATGGACATGGACCATCTCTAGCAGCAGGTTTGATAAAAAAAAATAGAGAGCTTTAAATTTTCTTTTCAGCAATGAAGATTATCAAGTCTAAATTGCACAATAAGATCAACGATGTGTGGTTCAATGACTTGGTGGTATGTTATACTGAGCGGAAGATATTCAAGTCACTTGATGATATTTATATTATTCGAACATTCACCGCAAAGAAGTCTCGGAAAAGACATTTGCCTCGTGATTTTATTTAACACGCTATTGTAATGTTATGTTTCATCTCTTTTATTCTGTTTAATGACTATTTGTATATTATATACAATGAAAATGCGGTCTTTAAATTTTTGTCCAAATTATATATTTTTTGTGGCTTCGCCACTGTTCATCCATTTGGTTACTGAAAGTTTAGAGTTTTTTTAATGACGCTATATAAGTTGCAATAACATGAGTAACCTTAAAACACCATACAAGTACACGATATATAAGTTATAAGATACTAGTATAGATTTAGCCTTTAAGCCCCTTTAAGCCTGTATTGTATAAAATTTAACAGTAGAAAAAGAAAATATTCCTGCACAAGACTCCTAACCTCCAATGCAGTCTACAGTGTCATCTAGTAATTTTCCTCCACAGAATCTGTTCCTACCTAAGAGTGTATATTTATTCATACTCAAACCTTATTTTTGAATGAATAATACAGTAATAATTTTAATTGTACTATCTAGAATTTCTATTGATCTGCATAAGTGGTAATGCAATAATGATAAACCCACTAATGAACTATATGCTTTGATAACGTACCACTTAAATTATTACTTTGGCTGGGATAAGATGGCAGAGTTTAATCTGTTCATCACTACTCAAGAATTTAACGACCAATCGAAATTCTGGTAAGATATATTAACAGGTTCAGTATCACTTAAGAGATGTGTCACTAGACCTGCTTTATTTGGTTCCAAGTAATTAAGTATCCACTTAAGTATTTCTTGCTCTTGTCCAAAATCTCCACTGAACCTGCCAAAATATGATTCATAAGATAAGATACAGAATTTGAATTTAAGTTAGAATCAAGGTTCTAGAAAAACTCAAATAGCACGCTTACCACTTGAAAATCCATGGAAGATGAACGGTTCTCTCTCTAGGTCCACTTCAATGCCACCATTCTCAAAGATCTCTCTTGCAGCACCTCTTAATTCATCTAAAACTCTATTGGGTGAAAAGAACCTCACATTGGGGCTAGATTTTGTACCATTACAAAGCCCAAAATGGAATAGCGGGTTTAACTTGACAAGAGCAACCTGCAATTTGTAAGGAATCAATTACTGATTTTGATCATTATTTGACATAGCATGAGAATTTGCAAGACTGTTTGGGAAAACTAACTGGAAATTGATTAAAACGATTTACCTCTAACCGTTTATCTCCGGTGCTAAAGGGCTTCATTATGGAATATGGTGACCTTTGATTACATCTAAGAATGCCATTTTCAATAATGGCAAGAGAATAAGGATATCCTCCAATCAAATACAGGAAGTCATTGAAGAAGGATCTCCTATTAATTACACCTTCAGGGCTCCCTACGCTAAATGACAGCATGAATGACCATGGCATTATATAAATTTAAGAAGAAGGCAAGTTTCTCATTTTCTGATAGTTCACCGATATTCACTCGCTGCAAATCCTGAGTCATGTTTACATACCTACAATTAGAATGAAAAATAGAAATTTAAATAAGTACTAGCACTAGACATTAATAATCTGATGTTAGAGAGTAAATTAAGAATTATTATACCTACGAAATTCTTCGCTTTTGCTAATGGCAGCATAATCAACACGTTTTCTATCATCAGAAGCATAAGACTCAAGAATGGCAGACATAATCTTTGTAAGCCTGTCGCAAACTGAAGCTGCTGGCTTTGGTTCATTGTCATTTACTGCACCACGGAAGTTAAAGCATCTGGGGAATAAAGGGTTCATGCTCAAGGAAACGATACAAGTTATTTCCGTCTACAAAGCCATTATCCCTGCAGAAGAAAATTGATAATGCCAATAAGGATACTATCATAAAAATTGTGACTCATATAATCATATTGAAATAGGGTCTGGTTTCATTAGGCTCAAAAGGTAGTTTCTTACCCGGAAACATGATGGATGAAATGCTTCCTGGATAACTCTTTTCCAATCTCAACAGCCTGACCATTGTTCACGAATGCAATATTTATTTTAGTGGAACATTACAGTTAACAGAATTGAAAGTAGGAAGAACTCTTTAAAATAAGTATTATCTATAACAGGATTTTTTTTTTTTTTTGACTTCATTGCAACTTTGATCTCTCTATTATCTCTTTTTTCCTATTTTGGTAATCTCATTTTAAAAATTAATTTTTATAGTCCTACTATTTTATCTTTTTTAGGATTTTAGTCCTTCATATTATTCTGGCAACAAATGGCACACAACTATGGTCAATAAATGAAATTGAGCCAATAAACCCTCCTATTATGAAGAGAATTATTGGTCATTCAAAAAAAAAAACTATAACAACACAAATGATGAGCCTAGAAACACAATTATATTTATGGCTTAAAAGGACTAATCTCTAAAGAGCATTACCTAGACGTTACTATTATCACTGTCATATCATTAAAAATGCTATTAAATTTGAAGGGGAACTATAATCCTCAAAAATACAAAATAAAGTTATTACAAAAATCAATTTTTAAAATAGAGAATCAAAATTGGAAAAAAGAATAATAAGGGAACCAAAATTTAAAATTAAGCCTCTTTATTATTATCTATAAAAAAATTATTATTATTCTGTTATTCTCACGTGACTTTTAAGGTAGTGGCTCAATTAAATTCTTATCAGGAAAATATTGAAATAATATTAATAGATTTAATCAACGGATTAAATTTGTTAAAATTTAAAATGAAAAAAACTTAAGCATTTCCACACACAATTTTGCCCCTATCTCTATTCCATATTCATCTTTCTCCTATTCATCAAAAATCTGGTTAATGAAATTAATAAAAAACATGTGACAATGATTTTATCTTCTTCATCATGTGGAGAAAGGTTTCTTTTGTAAAATGTGGTGTAACTCTTAAGTTCTAGGCACAAAACCGTGTTGGTAATAGAAGTTCTTGTGACCCGAATAAAATGGTTCACTGCTTGCAATGGAAGCCAAATCAATGTCATCTGCCATAAATCTTACGATTATAGAAAACAGAAATGAAGTCATTCATGTCTTTGGTTTGATCGTGAAAAAAATAGAGTTTAATAATATTGTAGAAAACAACAAATGGGTTTATGAAGTGCCAAAGGGGTAGGTGAAGGTTTATTGTATTTGTTTGATTTATCAAGGGAGATTGTTGATCTTTATGTAAGAAGCTTGCCGCCTATTTCTAAAATTTTGATTGGTGTTGGTGCATATGTACAAAATCATTAGTAGTGATAGGTGCATATGTACAAATTAAGGAGCGTGAAAAATTGTCTCAATTTTATTGACTTTCAGACAATCATCTTATGCATATTTTTGGTGAGTTGGAGAATAGATAGGGACAAGTTTATACTTGAAAATTTGTAACATTAAAAAATTTAAACTACTGATTAAATTTAATAATTTCGTTTTGATACTTCATATGTGATGAATGATTTAACTGAATATTCATCTTGTAAACCACTCTTGTTTACATATAAAATTCGTTTATATAATTTTTATAATAAAGCAACCTCTCAAGTATCATCGAGTTTTGATGGTAAAATAATTAAAAAGTAGAATTAAAGGTTAATCTTTTATATTTGTAAATATGATGGTAAAATAATTAAAAAGTAGAATTAAAGGTTAATCTTTTATATTTGTAAATATAATAAAACAACTCTTGTAAAATAGTATTTTAGTTTTTAGTTTATTACTTTTTTTTAATTATTATTTGTCTAAATTTTAATTATTTTAAATATATACTTAATTATTAATTAAAAACTTCTTTTTATATTATTTTATGTTTGTAAGCTAGTTATATAATTAATTTTATCAGATATTTTAATTAATTTATCAATTATTATTCATTAATTATAAATTATAAATTATCAGTAATCAGTTATAAGTTATCAGACATTAAATTACTATCTCCGTTCTTAATTATAAGACTATCTTTAATTTTATTTTTTAATATTTTTATAAGATTTTCTTCAACTTTTAAAATGTGTTAATTATTTTTTTCACATATACCTCTAATTATATTTTTTTTATTTATAATTTATAATAAATATAATTACATACACATTAATTATTTCTCTCTCTTAAGGACAAACTTGTAAAATTATACAAAATAGTCAATAAATTTATTACTATAACAAATTTTCTTAATTTTCACAATTTATTTATCAAAGTCTTATATTCAAAGGCAAAAATAGTTTCATATATCAGTCATCAACCATCAATTATAACTTTAAAATATAAATTATCTTATCACTCATCTACTAATTTTATCAAACAAAATTTTATTGTATAGTTAGTTTTCCTTTAAAAAATTAAAGTTTTATAAAAAAAACTGAACTACTTAATGTCTTTTGAATTTAAATATTAGAAGCTGCCTATTTAAAATACGTATAAATATAAGAAAAAGAAATAAAAAATAAAAAATAAACGTATGCGATTGGATATGCTATGCATGTATTTTAATATTTAAATATCACAAATTAAAAATACTTATAGATAGCCCCTCATCATTTCGAAAAACAAACCATACACTTTCAATACACTGAGTATGTTATTATCATTAATCGACATCTACATGTGTTGTTATTATCAGAGTTCATGTTTCTTTGCCACATTCAAAAGCTTCTCTAAGCTAATCTCAAACAAATAAAAGTTCTCTATGTCTCTTTATAAAAAAAAAAATTTGGATAACGCACGCTTTTTAACAAAATAATAGTATTTCTTGTATTTTAAAATAAAAATATAGTACTTACGAATTTACAATCTATTTATTATATAATTTAAAATTTTGTATCATTTTTATATTTTATTCTGTATTTATTTCTCTTACAAGTAATTATAAAAATTATTAAAATTAAAAAATACTCTAATTTTACGGTACAGTGGTATACGAAGCGTACCTCGTTACGCGCGCACTTGAAGTGTTGAATCACAACCGCCACAAACTCGTTCCCTTCAAAACAATTCTTAACGATTTTCATTCTCCTCAACCAATCTTGAACGAACAATTTCCGCCGCAAAAGACTAACAAGTCCAACCATCTCGTCCGTTCGATCCGCCTCGAAATAATCACAACCGTACACAGGCGGTAACGGCGCATCATCGCCGGCGAATTTCTCAACCACCATCTCCGTCAACCTCCGTTCAAACTCGCCGCTGTTTCGCAGCGAGTTCAAGGCGACTAACCCTCCGATCAGCTTCTCGTTGAAGAAAATCATCGGCACGGTTGTATTTCCCGTTCTTTCTCGTAGCTCTTTCTCCCTCTCGCGAAACACGTCGACGTTGATTTCAACGAACTTGAGTTCTCTCTCTTTGAAGAACCTCCTCACCGCCGTGCAGTCTCTGCAACCTGACCTCGAGAAGAACGTTATCCTCCCTTTCATCGCCGGTTCATCCTCCGGTTTCACTTTCACCACAACCTTGAGTCCTGAAAGACTGAATTCCGTCACATCCTGATTCCGACCGTTATTCTTCATATCCTTCTCCTCGTTCTCCTCCATCGATTTTCGAAACGATGAGACTCGTTTCGCAATCGCCGTTGATAAATCGCTGCTCCGCTGACGGATGAAGCTTCCGAGATCCGGCATGGTGCTGTTGACGGAGTTACTCGGCAGAGACTCGTCGTTTTTGTTTCTTTGAAAAACCTCCGGTGATACCGGCATCGGAAGAAGTGAATGAGGAGGAATAAACCCTACGTTGCCATCGTTTTTGCTATCAGCACCGCCATGACTGTAACTACTTTGGCTGTTAGTAACGGTTTCGTAACCGTTAACGGAATTTTCCGGTAAAATAAAATCACTACCGAGTTGAACCGTTTGTGTTGGTTTCTCGGTTTCCGTGCCGTTAGCTTCGGGACCCATTGCAGCGAATTGGAAAGTTACTGTGGGCGAGAGAATGAAATATGGGTAGATGGTAATTAGGAAAAATTAATTAATATATATAGGAGAAATAAGTGTTCTTTTGATAAGGAGAAAGAAGTGTTGGTCTATTGGTTTTGTTTGAAAGATTCTTTAAAATAATTCACTTGGAATATACTATGGAGGAGAAAAGGTCCAATAGAGGAGCAGACAAATGTGTTCTTTTGATATTTTCTATTTTCATTTTTTGGTTTGAGATTCATGTTTCTAAGAGGTGTTTTTTATATGAATAAACAATTAAAGAAATTTCATTAGCAACAATCACTCTAATACGCCTAAAAAAGATAAAAATAACTAAAATATTTTATTTCTAACAATACTTCTTTTATATTTAATGTAGGTTTTACAATTTTGGTACACATTGAAAAGTGATATGTCGGATTTAGAGATTGGGACACGGGGAAAATATTTGGTGATGATCATTAATATATAGTTTTTAAAGGTAAAATTGTATTTATAAACATTTTGATGATTAAACTAATAGAGATCGTCAATGTGAGGTTTTATAGTTTAAGATAGTGTGCTTTAACGTATGTATTGTTAATTAGACTTTATAGTAGAGATTTAGGGTTTAAACCATGAAATCTTCAAAGACCACTATCTCAAAGAATAGGTGACAAAAAATCTTGTAAACTCTTTCATTTGGAAATCTCTAAGGATTAAATTGTCCTTATCAAATGTGGCTATAAAACATATATATTTTCTGATCCGCATAACTTCTTAAAATTTGAGTGATTCGGTTGTGAATGGATTGGACTTTATCCTTGTCCAAGACAAAAAGTGGTCTTGTGTGGACCTGGGTTGTTCATTACTAGAGAGATGAATTCAAACTTTATGGTATAGTCTGGTTTATGGTTGATGCCTTGCAGCTTTGGCTCGATGTTTAAGGGGTTGTACGTGCAAACACTCTGACGTACAAATCAAAGACTATTAGACGTTAAATATATTTTAGGGTTAGAAAGTATGTACCTAAATTTTAGGGGTCTTCCTTTAGATTGGGAGAGATAACAATTTGGTTTCTTTTTCCTCTCAACCTAACACTTGGGCCTTTATTAAGGCACTTTAATCAGTGTGTCGTTATCTTGAATCTTGAGGTGTCCCTCAGAGTCTTATTTTTCATATTCTCCCTTGCTTGGGATACTTCTAACACCCTCATTCGGCTTGATTTCTTTCAAATGATTCCCCAAATAGTTTGAGGGCTTCACATAGTCTCACAAGAATTTCAAGTTATGATATATCAAAACTATATTGGTAAATTTGGGAAGGGCTAACAAGGGGCGACTTGAGGAGAAATTGGCGCAACGCCTCGCCCAAAACACCTTCTTGATAACATCTAACAATCTAGATATGTTTGAATTCAAAGTCCGCGTGTCAACATGTAAATACATCATGTTAGGGCTAGTAATAGGTCATCACTCTAAACACTATAAATTGACTTGTAACAGATGGAGGAAGCAAAAAATCTTAAGAAACCCCATCATTTCTTAAAAATGGAAGTGAGAATATCAAGGAAAAAAGTGACTGGATAAGTCATTAATGGATAATGTTAATTCTCTGAATTATGTGATTAGCATTATGTTTGGTAAAACTAATATAGCAGCAATATGTTAAATAGGATTTTCTAACTTGTAGAGAAAACATATTGATGTTCTATTTCATGAAGAAACATGTTGAGATGAGATGTCTCATCATCTGGAGCAACATGTCGGATAAGATGTCCTATGCAGGGTCATACGACATCGCGCCTGAGCTGAACTGGTTGTCATATTTTGTTAAGTCACAAAAATATAATATATTTTAAGGATACTATATTATCCTTTGTGGCGTTGATTTAAAGGTCAAGAAGAATCAAGTCAGAAAATTGAAAAATATGCAATTTCTAATTATGGAGATAATTTAGGAAACTAATGATTGAAGACCTTGTTTGTAGCAGAAGTTTCTACTGGTTTGTTACAGTTGATATGTTGTGATTGAAAGCCCAAATCTAATTGGGAGTAGTTTATAAATAGAAGCTTTGTAACCTAAGAAAGGTACCAGCCGAGAATTGAAAGATGTAATCATTAAGGTTGAGTTTGTACCACTCTCTAGGAGAGTTAGTTGCGTAATCCACTCGATATGTGAGTTGGACTGTGTTCCTTGAATTGCAAGGTTCCGTTCTCACTCAGAAGCCTGTAGGTAATGAGTTGAGTATTTTTCTTGGAGGAAGTTTGTAAGCAACTCCAAGTTGTGTTCTTAGTCAAGAGTCTTGGCTAGGTATTGTCATGGAAGTGTGTCTTTTGTTTTATTATCATGGAAGTGTGTCTTCCTGTTTGTCCAATTGTTGTCTGTAATTGATGAGGGTCTCATATCTAGGTGAGTCTTAAATAGAAGTATAGAACGGGTAGTGATTAAGTGAATAGATCGTAAACTGATATATTTGTTGTATGGTCTATGAATTGATAATATCATAGTGGACTTGTCCCTGGCTTGGTATGCCTCTAGAGTAGGAGAGTTTCTCTGAACTGGGTTAACAATTTTTGTGTGTTGTTTATGCTTTTCAGTACTATTTTTATTGTTTATACCTTGACTGTGTTGTTTAAGTTAGATCAGATTTCCCAACATGTCATAGGACGTCTGGAGTTCCTACCTACCAGAATTTCAGTTGGTATCAGAGCAGGCATCTTGTTCTGTTTCTGGGTGTGATCCTGGAATGATACTTTCTGGTCATGGGAAAGGAAGGATGTATCTACTAAAAAGTTGTTTGAACTTAGATAAGTTTATATTGTTGTTTGAATGGTCTCTAGAGGTGGAGAATAGACTGTTCATGACAGGGTGTGTATTGGACATGTCTGTTGTTATCAGGCCTGCAGCTTTGGTGGTGAGCTGTTTTGTTAGGTTTGATTTATCTTCAAACCTAAGTTGTTTGTTTGCACCTGGACTTTGGTGGTTGTATGCAAGATTTTTTGTTGTGCCTGGTGGATGTTGAGGAGTATTTGATGTGTTTTTTTGATGCATGGTACCTGTTGTAACCCTGGTCAGCATGACATTAGGGTTTGGTCTCCTCTGCATGTTTATCATATGGTGATGGGATACATGCAATACTGTGTCAACCAACCTTGTAAAGTAGCCAATGATACTTGAGTTTTATTTCTCAAGTCCACTCATAAAGTCACTTTAGTATGTGGTTGAAGTATTTTTTCAAGAAACCTGTCATTTATTTGATAGATCATTGAGGAAAGGATAAAGCCATTTATTTTGGTTTTTAAAAGAGTCTTCCTAATTTTTGACCTAATTAGGAAAGTGACTCTGAGTCTTGTTGTTGTTGGTGTAGCTAGAGCTTGGACTTTTTTTGGCCTTGAAGGTGATCGAGGGGTGTTTTAATTTTCTGGAAGTAGTAATAGCTTCAGAACCAAGCTCGGTTTTGGGTTCCAGTAGAAAGGAACTGATGTCCTACCAGATGTTGGGACATCATGGCAGCAGGTGTGCAGATCCTTGTTGCATAACAGATGCTCTTGGTGCTAAACAAATGTGTGATGATCACTTATGTTTGGAACCTAATCCTGATTTGGAAGAGGATACATTTGAGTTGTGTATCTAAGATGTGTTATCCCGAAAACATGTCTTAGATTGGTGGGTTGGTTGAATGTTGATCAACCAATTGGTTACTTCTTGGTTCATTTTATTTTTTATCCAAGTTAGTAGAAGTGAAGAGGCTGAGCTCTAGTGTCCAGTAGAGTTATGTTATCTCAGGTAGGTTCCTTATACATAAAGGTCAAATGTCAATGACATTCTCTCTGAAATCTGGTTTATTCTTCTAATCAAAGAATCCAGGTTTGTATGGAATATTGTTTATGGCCATGAAACAAATTATGTTTAAGGGGAGTATTGGTGGTATGCACTAACCATATGTTTTACTGCTATTAAAGGAGAATAATGTATAAATTTCAAGGTGTTCCTAACAGTTGGTGAAGAAGAATCCCTAATTTGGAGTTTGAGATTCTTGAAGAAATGTCAGATATCCTTGTATTAAGAATTTATTTTTCTCAATATGACTGGTGGTGTTTCTCATTAACAAGATATAAGTTGTTTAATCAAACTTGATACCACTTATCAAGTCTATGAGAGGATGGAAATCTTGTTCTGTTATTGTGGAAAGGTCTTTCAAAGCCTGTGTGAATTGGAGATGTATCAACCGAAATTATATGGTTGATTGGTGTCTGAACTAATGAAGTGTCATCTGAATCACCTAGGATGAGCATTTCAGATTTTTGTCTGGAGTAAGGAGGAGGATTTTGTTTTGGAACCAAAGGATCATGGTTCTTACTGTTTGGGAAGTTTCTCCTCAAGCATGGGTTCAGTTATGTGGTGACCTCACATGATGAAACATTTGTTTGTGCAAGGATTGGAGGGCATCCTTGTGTTTTGGAAAATTAGGAGCAGCAGAGTTATTTTGAACAATTTGTTTGTGGTATGATGATCAGTCAATGCCATGGTTGTTGAAGTCTGCTCTAGATACCTAATTAAAAGGAATCTTCTCTTTAGGTGCAGTAGAATGAAGTCTATCATCTCAAAGTCAGACAGGCGGTCTGGACATTGTGCTTATAAGAAGAAATTTTCTTGAGGTGTGCATGCTCTGCATGTATTTTGATCTTGAAGGTAGATCAGCTACTGATGGTGGATCCTCTTGTATCCCTTGCAAGAGATGTGTTTTGATTAATAATGATGTTGTCTTCAGATAAATAGTAAATGCTTAAATCCATGTGATTTATACTGATGTCGAAACTGATACTGAAACATCATTTATGTTCTTTTCTTCTTCAGCCAAGGAAGTTTTTCGGTTTGTTCATGGTGGAGTATAAGGTCAAGTCACTGGCCTAATTTGAAGTAGTTATGGCTATCATGACTGGTTGTCATGAAGAAGAATCAACTAGGTCTAGAGATATGCAGAAGAAGAATTTCAGAAT